ATGTCTTCAGACAGAAAAAAAACATCTTGACAAAACCAATACCTTCTCGCTATCGCATAGAAGCTAAAACATAAGAATGGTCTTTGAATTACAATATTAATAAGTATTATGCAGCGCAAGCAAAATTTTAAGTATGTTTAAGTTATAGTTCAATTAGAATATTTTTATTTAGATTACATTTTGTGTACAATTAAATTAATATTGATTAGAAAAATCACCAACTTGAAGTTTGAAGCTAAAAGTAGAAAAATTCACCCTACCTCTTCAAAATCGAAATAATACTAAAAATTAACATACTTCAAAATACAGCAGTAATTTTACAAAAAATATTCAAATATGTTCCAAACTGGTTTGAGGTATCTATTTCTTAAATATAGCGCTACCAATTTGCCGTAAAGTAACTAATAATATATCTTTATCTTTTTCCCTCATTCTTTGAGCATAGTTTTTAGTTTGGATAACATCGAATTGAGTCCATCCTACTTTTAGTTATTTGAATTGAGTCCCGTTTCTTATCTTAATATGTTTAAATTGATTACGTAGATAAGATCGTAAGCATAGTCTCCTTTGCTATTATTAGGAGGGAATTTGCACGGATTTTATTGAATTGAGTCCCAAATAAACAATGAAGTTGGACAGTTTCCCCTCAAAATTTGGTGTGATTTTTCAGCAAGTACTAATCGGACAACTAACAGTTGTGAAAGTTTTCATGCAAAATTAAATGCATTGTTTCACTCAGGACATCCGAATATTTTTATTCTTGTTGTCACTCTTCTAGGCATACAGTCAGATACCTATATTAAATTACGAAGCAATGCAAAAACAAAAACATGTAAAAAAATATTGGAAAAAGAACAATTTTTACGGGAACAGATTATCAAATATCAAAATAAAAAAATTAGCAGATTTGACTACTTAAAATCTGTTTCATTAAAATTATTCTGTTTCATTTTGAAAAATTATTAAAATAGAAAGTTTTTTTTGACCATTTATAAACAAGCAAAGCATTTTTAAGCAAGCACACACATTTTTGGGAGACTAATCAGCCAACCTCCACGTGGTGTCTCCTGGATAACGCTAATAAGCTGAAGGGACTCAACTCAAACAACCAAAAAAATATTTGTTGGACTCAATTCCGACAACCCACAAATATTCGTGGGACTCATTTCAATATTTAGGACTCAATTCAATATCACCGTTTAGTTTGAAGGTCTAAACATTTTTTTATAGAAGTAAAACATTTTGTCATTTATAAATAAGTAGTCCACACTTCAAAGTCATAAAAACATAAAAGTGATCATTTTATCTTGCCCTAGTTTTCTTTACTTACTATGAAATGCGAAGTATCAAATTGAAATGTGCACTATTTCGGTTTTTTAATTATACTTTTTATCACACTAACTCTCATCTATTTTCAAATAAAAGTTTCAAGCAATACACTAATTTGATGTATAAATGTTATACCTACAGCTTTATGCCTTTGACGCATTGAAATCGCCTTATAAAAATTGCGTATCGTCTCTAGATCTCAGTCCACTCTCAGAGATACAAAAATCTGATTAGGCTATTGAGATTAAATTTAAAATATTAAACGCAGTACTGCAGTTCTATTAAAATATAACAGTTAAAAAATTATTTTATTTTTTTCAATAAACACGTGGAGGAATTTGAAATGTAATCATTGGAACTATTTTTACGAGTACATGACTATTTTTTAAATTAAAAGAAAAAAAATCTTTACCGACAAAGTTATCTACTCTTGAAAGCGCTGCGTATGATCATATTATATTTTATTCGTGATTATTTTTCCAGGGCGAAGACAGTATATTTTTATTTAAATAAATCATTTAAAGAGTGTGAAATATTATTATAATATGTAAAAAAAATATATATACTTATTATCAAATTGTTTTTTGAGTGATGAAATGTGCATATTATATAACAGTATTTAAACATTTTAGATGTCTTTTAATCATTAATAATAGTTATTGTAACGATGAAATTAAAGAATATAATAAATTTTTTTTTCTTCAAATAATTGTCGGGTAAGAAAAAAATGTTTGCTGAATTATAGGTTCACTTGTCATGACAGAATGTTGTCTAAAAAATAAAATGTATGAATAGAATATCAAATTTTGCAATTATTTTTACATTATTTATATTAAAAGAGAAAAAAAATTGGTTGCATTTTAAATAATCGACTGTTATACTGAAACCAAACATTTAGTTAAAGTTAACTTTACTTTTAAAAGTACTATTTACTTAGTTAACATTTTTTTTCAGTGTGAGTATTTAGTATTAACTAATTTTGTAATAAAATAATTAAACATAATATTACTTATATTATTGTGAAATTAAGGCGAACCACGAGAAATAACAGTATAGGGTTACCAAACATATGCAGTTAGCTGTTAGGTTATATTATATAGTTATTAGTTAGGTTTGAATTATAGAGTAAGGTATATAATATAAAGTTGTCATTGTATTATGTTTGAATGTATAGTAAATTTAACAAAAAAATAAAGAGCAACGCCGCAAGTGTTATTAGTTTGACGAAAATAAAAATTGTTTCTGATTTGGTTGATACTTTATTAAAGGTGTATATTTAAAATAAGTCAACCATAGTTTTTAATTGATTAGAATAAGTAAAAAAAGGAAAATTATTTAAAAATATTTAAGTATATTTATAATTTATTGTAATTTTAACCGTGAGCTGGAGCGTTTTGGCATGCAAACATGACTTTATATAACGTGAAACCGGATCGAGGTGTATCATAAACGATTTTAATTAACTGCTTTCGTACACACACACAATCAGATTCTAAATTGAGTTTATAAAACGATTATTATTACAGTGTGTACCTCTAGTTACTACAGTGTCGCCCACTCGGGACACCTTGGGTTTACTGGCCCTCCGATCAGGCGCGCACACTGCCATATAAAGTTATACACGGCCATACCTGTTTTTCTTTCTTTCTTTTGTGCACGTAAAACGTTTTGAGAAAACGACGTTGTATACTATATATTAATAATATTATTATTACTATTATATATGTATAAATGTTTAAAATAAAAAACCTAACTCAAGGCCTCCGATAAAACAAACTGTAGGGTGTATACCTACCTCTTTCAATAAAAATAATAACATACGTCTGACAATATATACACATATAGATAGTAATAATTATAGACTACCAATATTATGATGCTTTAAGTTTTCATAATTATACTTAACGCCAATTTTACTTTAATATTTCACTTGGACTACTTGTGTTGAGGGACAACGCTTCGCAAGAGACTCCTATTAGAAGGTCACAGATAAATAATAAATATACATATATAATATATTTTATGGATTAGTGTAGCGCACGTGTGGGCCGGACGCATGGTTTTGTATGTCCATATCTGATCAAACTTTTTTTTTACACACAATCTCATTTTTTGAAGTTAAATATAATTTAGAACTTAATCTTAACGACGTGTAACGCCTACCAACTGCTTTGTAATTTATAAATTTTAATTTGGAGTGAAATAAGTTAACTTGTTAAGGGTGATTTATATTCATAAATTTCTATGGCAGTTTTTATAAAGAACCGATTTGATTCATGGCAATCTATTAATAAATGCAAACCGTTTTTAAGTTTTCGGGGAGAACTGACTTGAAATTGTTCTGGACGAAAACCTCTAAAATGAACTAGTGTACAACGAAAGCATTAATTGGAAATCTTAACTGCGGATAATCTGATAACAAAGGCATCACTTAATTATGAAGTATAGGTAATAAGTATAATTATTATTCGGAAGCTACATAGCATAATGTTGACAATTAAGACAATGTTTATAAACAAATCCATAGTGCGGTGTTCTATACTTGTATAATTAACCTCGATTAAAAATATGGACTATGAACTTGTCGAAAATAAGCACAATAGGTATATTATATTATGTACAACGACCACGTGTAATAAGATATTAATGCACTCTTGGTTTTTCGGTATTTGAGACGAATGCATTAATTGTTAAACCCTAAACTATGGGAATCGTTTCCTATGTATTTTCATGTAATTTACATTGTTTTTGAACAGACGACGTGTGTCCGGATGAAGTGTACGGGAAGAAAAAGTAATGTGAGTATACCCGCCAGCGGATTTAGAGCTATTTACAAATTAAAGTACACACACACATACACATACCGATGCCATAATCAATTATAAATACTAGTAATAATAATTATGTTTGGCTCGCACACACGGTGCACGTTTGTTCATACGGAGAGAAGCCTCGAGGGCCATAGAAGAACATCTTGTGTATGTGTCTATATTAGAAAGAACAAAAAGGTATCGTAACCGGGATCCGATGTTATCACGTTGTTTTAATATGTTTTAAAGTATATTACTATCAACCAGAGGTATAAAAACACACGGCCTCCTATGTTCAATATCCATTGTCCTATGATAATGTATAAACGTATTCTTATTGCCCATACAGTTTGAATTACAAACTCTTAAGATTATTATGTATGCTGTAATACTAAACGTTCATGTACAAACGGTTTTGATGAGTAAATTGATTTAATCAAACCCAACGCAGTCAGTAGTTATATTATATTGTGTTGTCATTTAACACAAGAATGCATGTATTTGAAATCGCACTTCGAATGCAAGTAGTAGAAAGACATAAGGTAGGGCAAAGAAAGAACCGTATCGTATGCATATCGTTTTACCATGTTAACATGTTGCAAGTGAAGTCAACTTTTGAACGATACTTCGAGCCGGGGTAGTTGTACCTTCCCTATTTAAATAGCGGTCGGTTAACGGGCGCAAAAAGGCGGACTCAGCCGATTCTCAATTGGTGCGTTATCGCGTCGTAGTTGATTTTATCGCCGGAACGCGAGTACATATTTAGAGAAATGAGGTGCGAGCGCAATGTTTTCGATGGGATTCGGTACGGGGGTGGAAGGGATATCGGCCACGCGGCGGTCGGGGAAGGGGGAGACGTACCTGTTGATGCACCGCCGCCGTCCAGCCAATCGACAAACAGCCAATCGTCGGCGGCCGCCGGCGGCAGGTCCCTGGTGGTGGTCGTTTGCTGTTGTAGTCTCTGCAGGGCTCCGCTAGTGATGGTGGACGTGGACGGCAGCCGGCCACCGTCCGTCCGACGTGTGTCCGGTTCCGCGTGCAGACGCCCCTCCTCTCGGTCCGCCTGCGCCGCCGGACCGACCCGTTGGCGTCGCCTCAGCCGCAGGGACTTGCCGCCGCCGTCACCGTCGTCGTCGTCGCCACCGGCCGCCGCACCGGTCTTTCTCATGTCCCGCGCACACCAGCAGCCGTCGGTGCGGTGCGACGACGGCCGCCGCCGTCCGTGCCATGGTCAGCGCAGCGCATCGGCCGGCATCCGGCGCACCACCGGGCGTAAACGACGGCGGCACAACGGAAGCGATGAAAATAAAAAATTAAACAGAGAAACAATAATAAACGCAAACTACAGCAGAGAAAAAAAAACACCGAAAGCGACGAAAAATCGGCACGACGAACGTACAAGCGGCGGCTGCAGTCGCGGTGTCGGTGTCGTTAGCGCACGCGGTCCGCACCTGTACGTACGCGTTCTGATCGGCGTTTGAAGGGTGCCGGCGACTTTACTACACACAAACAAAATCCAAACACACACACACACGCCGGCGTAAAAATGATGACGAGATCCAAACATACACACACGCGGCGAGTCGCTGCCGCCCGTGCGGTGGCGTCGTCGTATCCGTAGGCGGCAGACCCAAGGCGACTCCGTATACGACGAAGCGCCGGACGCCGCCGTCGCGGTAAATTCGACGGGCCGATACCGGCCGCCAGCCTGTTGGCCATATACATAGTAATATTATAATACGTATTCGTTCAGATGACACGGCGGCGGCGGCGGTCGGTGCGTGCGTTGAGTCGTCAACTGACGTCACCGAGTGACGTGACGTCACCGCGGCGTCCACGTTGCTACCGCGTAATATTTACACAGCCTGTCGGTGTTTTATTTTCATTATTATTATTATTGTATAGGTATATATTTATAAATATAGTTTATACGCGGTAGACCTAATACGAATACAATATAATATATATACGAGTAATAAGTGTCAAACGTAGGCATCCGAGTATTAGCCGTAGTCAGGTGTCTAGTGTCTAAAACCAGAAAGTTTGACTACCGACGAGGGGGACCGCTCAACAGTAGATAAATATTTACCCGAGAATCTCGAGAAAAACAAAACTGATATTGAAAAAGTATTTACGAAAATTGAGTGAAACATGATTACAGACCATTAATAAAGATACAAGGCAGGGTCACTTGTATCATGATGCTGGGTCGTGACGAGGAATTTACAGTTTGAATGCACGAGTACGGTTATTTATATTTAGTGGCAAAATATAAGCAATTTTTGACAAAAATTGTTTTAGGTATGACAAATTTTTATTATGCCAATTTGTTAAAATATTTTTGCATGTTTATATTGACATTGAAAGTTTTTTTTTATGAACAAAAACATACTACGGAAAAACTCTCATGTTTACTATTTTTCATTTCTGTTTTTTCCAATAAAAATCTAAAAGGGCGTAAAAATGTACGGTGTTATGATCGTAAATTTTAATTTATTTTTAATTGTTCAACTTATGAAATATAGTTCAGCGAAATGGCCGAGATATCATGTTTAATAAAAATTGCACGGATGAACAGTTAAATGTTAATAAAATAAAATTGTTGAGCATCGTAATGCCTTTTTGACTTTCCGTGCAAATCTTTTTTAGTATTATTTTACGACTTACCCATGCCCCTTAAAAATAAATCACAGAGTTTTAAAGTTCCTAACCTTAGATAACATTCATTACCGTATTTGCCAACATTGCTGTTAGATGAGTATATTGAGATTTACCGGCACCATTGATTTTAGAATATACTATTGATTTTAGTATATTCTAAAATCAATGCCTGCATTGAACGCAAACAGACAATGATGACGTCAATAAAAGAATTTGGGTACGACTTGCAGTTATAAGATATTCTACGAGTCGTTCTAAATGTAATTAGTTCTTAAATAAGCTTATATAAATAGCTAGTATTATAAGAAAGGGATTTTGCACTCCATTTGGTACTCAGGTAAATCCATTAAATTATTGTTTTAAATGTAAAGTAAGTACGACCTACAATATACGATTGTATGCCTTCTTAGCTTCGCATACCAGAAAAGTGTATTTCTATTGCTTTTTAGGTATCTAAATATCTAATTCCTAACGGTGTCGATAGCTTGCGTGCTTCTTGTTAGTCACTGCCTACGTGGTTTGGAATTCTAGTTACAATTTCCACAATATCGGACTTACCAATAAGTATAAAAATAAATGTTATACTTGTTGAAAAAGTTATATATATATATCTCATAAGCGTAGGTAGACTTTCTAGGCAGGTAGAGCTATTCCAAAAAAATATTAGTTCCACAAGAGGGACTTATAACTGAGAAGCAGTTGTATGGTCATGTTGTACAGTGTATAGGCTTTCCCAGTTACTTATTAAAAAAATAATTAATACATCAGCTATTCAAGAAAACAAAAAATTTAAAAAAAAATTGTATTAAATAGTGAAAAAATAATCAAAGAGTTATTAGTCAAATTGTCATAAAAAAAAATTTTTCAGCCGAGTCTGCAACCACGAAAGAGCATTTTCATGTCTCGTTGAAGTACCGAATATATTTATAGTAGTGGTGGAATTATAGATAATGATATAGTATATTAAGAAGCAGTAATAAGCTATTATAATAAAACATCAAGTTTCTGGCTAATATTGTAGTCATTAATATCTGGCTTAAAACAATTCATAGAGAATTTGGGCCCTTAAATAATTTGAATTTATCATTTAGTTCTAATTTGAACGTTGAACGTACAACATATCTCTTATCTCTTACCCTTATCTCCTACCCCCTGTAACGTTTTTGTAACGCTTTTTTAACATAACGCTTTTTTCGATTATGTGCCAGAGCTAAGACATGAAAATGTTAAAAAAAGAACTTCTGATTATTATTAGTACATGAATATTATTAGTCCATTTAATCAAAATCTGGAAGCATTTAATCGGTACATTTATGACTTTAATGAATTAAACGTACGCCATCTAAACAGGTTGAACAAATGTATATAATTAGTAATTATTTTCTAAGAAATAATTATTTTTTCTGAAAAAATGTTAAATAAAATCTTTATTATACTAAGCCAAAATTATTATTTTAAATGGTAGTTTCTCTTGACGTTAAATGGACATTTTTTAAGATTACATATACGAGATTGTGAACACCGATTGTGTAGGATAAGGCAAAGAATAAATGTACCTAAAGGCTAAATATAATTTAATGACAAAAAAAAACAAAATAATTTAAACTATAAATTATTAATATTAAAAATTACAAAAATTAGTACTAATAAACGAGATGCGTGCAATAATGTAGAGTGGCTGGCTCATTATTTTTATTTTTATAAATTAAAACCTAGTAATTTAACTCAATGTAAATAGTTCAATATTATTTAATGAAATAAAAAAAACTCATTAGTTAAAAATAACTTAGTTTAATGGAGTTCTAAAATAACACAATGTCTGGAAAAGTTCCCAAACTACTATTACTACAATGTATCTTGTTTTTAGGTATATGTCTATTTGTTTAACGTTTTTTTTATACTTTATTATATTATATCTGAAAAATACCTACTGTTCTAAGATTCTTACTGGTATATATTAAATAGCGAACAATTTGGAGTTGATTAAGAGATTAAGATTTGGAGTTGGGGTGCTTAGATTTATGTGTGTTAAAGAGAACTTACATTCAAGAAGTCAAATTTTGCGGATACCACCCAATTTTTAATTGAAAAACTTCAGATTCGAAACAACTTGCAAGTATATTGCAAACGTCCATTGTGTTTGTTATTACCACGATCTGTGTGTATCTATCATTGTGTCGACCAATAACCACATTTGTTTTGTGTGTACATACATTTGCCAAAACAACAGTCAACAGGGCTGCTTGGCAGAGCTCAGACATTTCGAGGCCAAAATTTGATGCATAGAAATAAGTTAAAAAATTCGGAGGCCACTTCACCTGTCACTCTTAATGGGAAACAATGCCGCTGGGGTAGGTACTTATTGAGTAAAATTTGTAACCAATTTGTTTGACCGCGACCGTTTTCTGATCTCGCGCTTAGGCCGCACGACAAGTCCTTGCAATATGTCTAGGCCTGACGGTGAAGTCACGGTATTATATTATCATTATTACAATATTAATTTTATGTGACCGACGAGTACACTGTGAATGTTAATAATTATTATTATCCGTGTCAACCGGCGTTCAGCTTTTTATTTCCCCGAAGGCTATTAGTGTTTTTTTTAATGTAATTTACTCGACGACCGCACATCCGCGATTATCACACTATTATTATATAATAATATTTAACGTTGTTACAACGATACGCGTCATGATGTATTTTTTCTCCAATACATTTTTATTACCACGGTCCATATATGATCAGGATTTCTGCGCGAAATAAATCAAAACCGCTGCCGGTAAACGGTCGTCCATGCCAAGATGACATTGTAGACTGCAGAACAGTTTACTGCGGTAGTTTTTTTTTTATTACAACTGGCCACCTTCAATCACAGTTCTCAGGTCTTGTCATAATATCATGCGATTGACTAGACGAATTTGGTGGTTTTTCCTAGACCCCAACTCCGGTATACAGTGGTATATATATTATTATCAAACCAAAATGTGGCATTATAGCCAAATATATGAATAATTAATGGACGCAGTGCCGATCGTAATAGGTAAAATACATTTTGATTTAGCACTGTACTGTTAGGTTCTGTAAAAGACAGAGCCGCGTTTAACAATGTGAATTTCTCTGGGGCGGCAAATTTCATAGTGCTTGGGGCCAGCAATTTTTTGGAAACCAACATAAGAACAAAAAATTAAGTAAAAGTATAAAAAATAGATTTATATTATTAAAACAATATATTTTTTTATAAATGTTTTCTTTTCAAATTTTGATTTTTATAATAATAATTAATTTTTGGGGGTGACCCAATTTCTTTTACCAAAGGGTGGCAATATAACTTAATGTGGTGCTGGTATGCTGAATGTTATAGCTATTCATGAA